TTTCCAGTTTCTTAGTAAGTCATCCATAGGACAATCTGAAAACAACTCCAAAGATTTTAGCCAGTGGAAGGATTCGATCTAACAAATCTTCCAAAGTTTTTTCCTTGTCAAAAAATATGCGTGAGTTTCTTTCTTCCCACAAAGACCAGCAAAYCGCTGCCCTAATACACCTCCACATAGTCTTCCCTCGCTTCTTAGGCCAACTGAAAAAAGAAAGAGAAAACAAACCTTGGACAGTCTCCGGAGGATACCAAGAATGCCCAAAACGGGAGAAAACCCACTCCCAAACAGATTTAGCAACCTTACAAAAGACCATGAGGTGGTAGCCAGATTCCCCATCATCTTTACAAAGAGCACATCTATTCTTTGGGTTTGTGTTCTGAACTGAAAGCTTAACAGAGAAACCAAGGACTAATAAGTTTCCATTGTTCAGTCCAAGTCGTCCAAGATCTCCAGGTAAGTTTCTTCTTTCAAAATATTTTTGGGACGAAATAGGGGCTTCATCGCCTCCTTCCTCAAATAACACTACTCTCGTATTTTACTTTCTTACCTTTTTATTAACAAGAGAAACACTTTTGGGAACGAAACAAGGGCTCCAGCCCCTTCTTCTTAAACAGGTGTTGTGCCCTAACTTTTTAAAATTTTCTTGTATTTTTTGCACTATTTTTAATAATGCGGTTTTTTGAACGAAACAAGGGCTTTGTCCTTTTATTTTTCTCTCATTTTACACTGCATTCTCCATTTTTATTAGCTTGAAACAGGGCCTCCACCCCCTTAAGCATAGTGCAAGTCGTCCAAGAGGACTGACTTATTTTGGGAATGAAACATGGGCTCCGCCCCCTTATTTTTCTCTCTTTTTTTTTAATGGATCCCCTTTTTGTTATCCTAAAACAGGTATGATGTATATATGATGGCATTTTATGTTTTATTTGAATGGTTTTATTGCTAATAGACAGTATACAGTTATGTTGTCTAGCATAAAAAACTAATAAAGTAGCTTAACAGGGGTAGGGATTTTTATTTTATACTTTAAATTCCACAGCCTAGGCCATGCCTAGGCGATTTTGCGCTCCGTGGTTGCCTAGGTGCCTTAACAACCATGGTCATAATTCGAATTTTAATTCTTCATAGGTTCTATATGGTGATCCTCACTTGAAGATCATCAGAACTTTTAATTTCGATTGATTTTTTTATCTTCACTATTGAATATTTAAATCTTTGTTAACCACAAGTTGATGATTTATAGGTTTTATATGGTGATCTACATATGGCGATCATTAGAACCTATAAATGATATTAAACATTTGTTTCAATAACTCTTTAAATCTTTATAGGTCCAATATGATGATCTACATTTTGAGATCATCGGAACCTATAGTTGATTTTAATCATTTATTTCAAAAAATTCTTAAATCTTTGATATTGAATTTAATTTTTGATAGATTCTATGTCTACATATATTATCAGAACTTTCAAGCTTTGGTTGATTTTAATCAACTATATTGACAACTTTTCAAACCTTTGATTCTTGATTCCAATCTTTATGGGTTCTATATGATGATCTACATTTGGAGATCATCAGAACCTATAATTGATTTTAATCATTTCTTTCCATAATTCTTTAAGTTTTGATAGGTTCTATATGATGATCTACACTCAGAGATCATCAGAACCTACAATTGATTCTAATCATTTATATCAACATTTTTTTCTTAAATTCTTTGATCTTAAATTTAATTCTTGATGGGTTCTATATGATGATCTACACTTTGAGATCATCAGAACATTATCTAAATTAATCTTTGAAATTCAATTATTCATCTTGAGAGTTTTTAAGCTTTAATGCTAATCTTGAATGGTTATACATGATGATCTACACCTGGAGACCATCAAAACCACTAATATTTGAAAATCTTTGATCCTTGATCATTTGTACCTTGATAATTATTTCAGTTCTTGATTCTCATTGGTAAAGAGATCATCAAAATCATTAAAGCTTTTGATCTTAAAGAATTTTTATAAATCTTGATTTTGAATCGTCACTCTTGATGAACCTTTGAATCTTTTATTCACAATCATTTATCTTAATCTAATTTTTCATCTTTAATGGTAATCCACACCCGGAGATTACTAAATTTCTTGGGCTGAAGTAGCTTATACAAGTCCCTACCCTAAAGTCAGAAGATACCCTGAACAATCTCAAGGGTAATGGGAATACTTGTAAAACAATCTCAAGGGCAAAAAGACATTGTCTCATCAATCTAACAATAAATAAACATTTTCAGTGATAAAATAGTTTTATAAATTCCTACCCTAATATTTTAGGGTAACCCTGAACATTCTCAGGAAGAACAAGAATGCTTGTAAAGCAACCCCAAAGCACAATGATAAAGGCCATAACAAATCTCTTTTATCAACGATAAAAAAAAAATCACAATCCTAAACATTGGATGAATAAATAAATAAAGTTTCAGGATTAAGGAAATATTAGAACAAAATCCTTCTAAGCAGAATCATATTTAATGATTTAAAGATTCAACCTTTTTTTTGTTGACAGCTATCAAAAATAAGACAGAATCATACTTAATGATTTAAAGATTTTAGCCTTTTTTTTCCTGTTGACATCAATCAAAAAAAAAAAAAAGAAAGAGAATCATATTCAGCCTTTTTTCTGTTGACAGCAGTAAAAAAAAGACAGAATCATACTTAATGATTTAAAGATTCAGTCTTTTTTTCTGTTGACAGCGGTAAAAAAAGGTTGAGTCTTTAAATCATATTCAGTCTTTTTTTCTTTTGAAAGCAGTCTTTTCTTTTGAAAATGTTTGAGGATATCCTCTTGAAAGCAACAATCAGCATGTGGAGAGAAGCTGGAACACAGCAGTCCCTCTCTTGAAAGTAGCAACTCTCTTGCTAAAAAAAAAATAATAACCTTTTCCTTTTGGAGCCTCCACGTGAATGAGATTGACTCAATAAAGCTGAGTCTCTCTTTTTTTTCTTTTGGCTGGAGAAAATGAGAAGCTAGACACGTGTTAGGCCTATCTAGCTTCTATATTTATCTAAATAAATGGACAGCTGGCTGTCCATTTGTTTAAGTAGTGGTCCATACTTAATTACTTAAAAAGCTTTTAAGCCCCATTAACATACAACTTGGGCCAACTTTAATTTAGAACACGGGACCACACTTTATGTGCGGGCCCACGCCTATAATATTCCTAAGCCCATTTAATTATGGACCCTTTAAGCCACATGTACATACATTCTTGGGCCCCTTAGGTAATGGGGCCACATTTAAGTCATATGGGCCATCTTCAAATATATATACTACTTGTACAACAAAAGAAAGGAAAGCCTAACAATAAATGTGTAGGCCCATTTCTTTCGCAATTTCCAGCTCATTGAAGGGGCTTACAACATATTTAGGTCCTAATTAAGCCTTGCTTGTAACTTGTAAGAATCTTGTCCAATCAATTTTAAATAAAAAAAATGGCTGTTAAGTCCTTAATTTTGCTGGATTTGGAGCATGTTATTAAGCTACTCCCAGAGAGAGAGAGAGAGAGAGAGAGAGAGAGAGAAGGGGCTTTCTTTCCAATCAGACCTTTTAAGCCAATCAGTCCTATGGGTGGGCTGAAACAATTTAGGAAAGAAAGGGGCTTGTAGTATAGTTTAGTGAACAATAGGCCCTAAAAAAATTAAATTTATGTTAATTAACAATCTTATGATGAGTTCCACATATTTATAAAGGGGATGCCACTTGTCTTATCCTAATAAGAGGGATCTTTTTCTATCAAAAAAAAACAAAAGGCTGTTTTCCCTCCTTTAGCCATTTGAATTGGGGGGACACATGTCACCCTAGGGGAGAGAGTTATTTTCCCTCCTCTAACCACTTTAAGCGGGGTGACACATGCCACCCTATCTTGGGGAGGGGGGGCTATGTCACCCTAGGAAGGAAGAGTTTTCATCTCCCTCCTTAACCCATTTTAAGTGGGGTGACACTTGGCACCCTAAGGAAGAGAGGGTTGGGGAGTAGACCTGTTCATGGGCCGGGCCGGTCTTGGTCATGTAATTAGGCCCGCGGGCCTGACCTCGGGCCTAACACAGTAAGCCCGACTGTGTTTCGGGTCGGGCTCGGGATTTGTCAAAAAAGCCCGACCCGAGCCCTGCCCGACTCAGCATTATATATTTTATAAAATATATAATATGTATTTTATATATTATATAAAATATATAAATAATATAATATTTATTAAAATATATATTTATAATTTAATATATATATATATATTTTGTATTCTTTTCTTTATAATTTCTCTCTCTCTCTCTCTCTCTCTATTCAGCCGCTTCAGCAGTAGTAATAGTAACAGTATAGGCTAAATTTCGGGCTCGGGCCGGGCTCGGGCCCAAGTTGTAGGCCCAATGGTCGGGTCGGGCTCGAGCTCGGGCCTTAAAAAAAATCTGTTAATACAGAGTGAAAGCCCGGCCCGAGCCCGGCCTGGCCCGGCCCATGAACAGGTCTATTGGGGAGTTACTTAACCACCTCCCTCCTCTATATAAACCCCTCTCCTACAAGGAGAAGGGGCTTATGCTATTTTATTGGCAAATAGGAGTTCTAGCACTAAAGAATCAAGTAGGAAGAGAAAAGAGAAGATTGGTGTGAAGAGCATAAAAGAAGGAAGAGGAAGGTAGGGAAATTATCACCCCTACTATTTTTGCATGAAAAGATAGTTGGATTGATCCTATTTGTAAGGATCTTGTAATTTCCATTTCTATTTTTAGTCAAATCACTTGTTACCTATCAAAAAAAAAAAAAGTAAAATATTTTTTCAAGAGGTAAAGCAAGATTGTATTACTGAATAAAAGTAATATATTTGCCATCAGGAATCATGCAAGATACTAGAAATACATCTAACTTAACATACCTGCAAATGAAAAGCAACAAACAGTATTATGGATAAGGAGTTCAAAGTATGATCTCTGGAGCTGTTAATGCCATGTCTTTTTGCCCAAGCTTTCATCTGCAATGGGGCCGATATGATGGGTAAATTTCATGCCCACTAGATGCTACAGCAATAACTGTACCAAATGACATAGGAATATCATATAAAGAAAAAATACAACTTGCTGACTTAATCTCTAAATAGTCTCCCAGCAACTTTAGGGAACAAAACATTCCTGTGCCATTTTCCTCTTAACTGGAGAAATAAGGGGAGTATTGGTGCATTTCAAGACATCCCCCCGCCAGCAGGTAGTTAGCTTACCTCTAAAGGAATGGGAATGTGGATAAATGAATATCATGTGGACTTCTGAAATAACATGGCATGGGCACCTCTTTTGACAATAACCAATAGATTCCCCAATCCCAAACCCAGTTGCCATCTATATTGCCACTTCAACAAGTTGTGATCTTTGTTCGAGAAGATCAAAGGTAAGCACCATTGGGCCATGTCCAAAGATGAGGGGAAAAATGTTTACTGAAAACAAAGTCACTAGTTCCAAATGGCTAAACAAAAAAAATGCATATTCATTTTTATCATGAATCTAATAATGTCGGATCTGCTACTGGAAGATATGGATATGTGCATAGGTGTCATGCCAACTGCACTGCCATCAGGGAAAAGGACATACCATGATACATCAATGTTGATCAGGTGAAAGGAGATAGGCAATTGAACTTCTATTAATTTATATTTGAAACTGAATAGAACTCTTCAAGGACCATAACTCCTTGGGAATGCAATTCACAGGTTGGCAATGTCTATCAAGGGAAAACATTTTGAAAGGAAGAGGAAGTTGCCCAAACTTCCCTTGCAAGTTCCAGTGGATGAATGCAGATGGCATACCTAGGGAATCTACTAAGTGGAATTAAAGAATAATGAAAGAAAGATTCTTACCAAAAAACTTAGTTTCTGAAACCTTTCATCAATTGCTGAAATCGTGTGGATAAACATTGATTTAGCAATGCCATCTTTATTTTCAATTGAAATATCGCACTCAATTCCAGTTCCAAGATCTTTGAATTTAATAATAGGCACCCTAGCTCTCAAGATTGGTTGGACATCACAAATATGCCCTTTCCCTGCAAATATAGGCATGAAAAGATGTAAATATTTAAGGATTAATGTGTATCATGTAACAATCAACAGGACTTAGTTGGACTCATTCCATCAAGGGTCTTTCAAGTCATGTAGGTTGAAAGTCATATGTAGGAAATGGTTAAATTATTGATCTTAAACAAACCCAGGATTATTAGTGATGAAACAACTCAAGTTCCATCAACACCATCCCAGAGCGGATTGAAGAGATGGCGAATTGGACTTGTTCCACAAAGAGCTGTTAATTGATTAGAGGTTGGAACTTGTATGTAGGAAATGGCTGAACTATTGATTTTAAACAAGCCCAAGATCCTTAACAATGAAACAACTAAACCTCTGTCAACACCTCTGAGCAGATTGAAGACATGGCCACTCAGAGCAAACCTCCCAAAGAAAAAAAAAATTCAAACTAAACCTTGTCAACCTATCCAGTTACTACTACATCTATGTCTGATTAAAATTATGCTCCAAAGGATCACTATCTGAAGAATGAGTTTTGAGCTAAAAATGATTCTTTTTTGAAGTTAAATTTTCTAGCTCCAAATAATCAATTCTTAAAGTGGATTTTGAGCCCAAAACAAGAATTAGTTCCATCAATTCACATACATCTTAACTTAAAAAGATTCTTAGAATCACAGGATTTATCTGGATTACTTCTCAGAAAGCATGCCAAACACAGCCTAAACTTCCAGATTATCTCTGGAGGAACCACACCACCTGTATCCACGCAGATTTCACAGAGAAAAATGGCTGTCTATCCATCAAGAAAACAACCTATGAAATGTGAGTACTGTGTGGCCTCTGACTCTAAGGTAGCAGGATGTAAAACAGTTATAATTTTTTTTCACATTGAAGTATTTGTTGGACCCACAAAGATATATTCTAAGAGAAACACACAGTGAACAGACTCTAGGAACAGGTTCTTTCATCATCATTAATTCCCCTTTCTTGGATCCACCTTTGCCTCCTGCAATCAATTAAGACTCAAAGCATTTCTTGATTTCCCCATCTAGCAAAGGCCACGCAATGGTCAGACAAACAAATAACTTGTACATTTCAGAATCCATTACCATTCTAACTGAGTTTGCAAGGTTTCAGCCATCAAACATTTTGCCTGCATTCTGGAATGAGAACAGACCTGCTCCTTTCAACCCCATTTTTTTGTTATCTTTAAATGTAAACTTCAACTGTTTTTTTTTTTTTCTTTTGTGAGAGGTATCAATGATGGAGAAACCAGATGGTTAGCTATGGGGGTTTCTGATTTTTTATGGATTTTATATTTTTTGGAGGACAGCCAAGTATTTTGGTAACCTTATATATTGTATGTTTATTCAAGCCCGAGGATATTAAGCATTTTTTGTCAATGGTTGTTTAGATGCAGATACAACACTATTCTTAGCTATGTTAGAATCTAGGTTTGGTCACTTTCTGGTCTTCTGTGGTCGTGAAGTAAAGACATCCTAAGACTTTCCCGGAAAAAGTAATGATTCTGAAGTTCCAAGTAGGTGATAGGTGGATTATATGTCAACATGCCTAAGCAACCATGATATACTTTAACAATATCAAAAAAAAAAAAGACTAGTAGATGAGAAGGAGATAATAACCTAAAGATGTACTTTTAAGTAGATGGCAACCAGATGAAAAGAAATTGGCGAGTGAAGGAGGCAACAAGTAGCTGTCAAGCAGCTGAAAAAGTTATTTGCTCATGTACATATCTCTTGATCCATGTCAATACATACTTTTGTACTGTGTCCTTTGAGGCCAAAGAAATTTGACTATTCTCGTGTTGATGTATTTGGTGTGTGATCCCCAAATCCTGAGTGATTTTATGGCCCTCATTGAGTATACCCTGTTTTTTTCTCCTCTTTTCTTTCTCTAGTTTCCTTATTCTTACAACTACACAGCCTCAAGAAATATAGTTTAAGACTTGGATAAGTGTATTAATATCAATTTTTTGACAAAAAACTTTCGTTAAATTTCATTGGAATCAAAGGATTACATCTGTTACAAGCATCCCAATGTGTGGCGCAAGGTGCAGCCTCACTCTTTAACAAAAATATATAGCAGATTTACAAATGGTCCCAGTACATCTGATCCCTAGTTACCCGTTGCTTAGCTAGACAATCAGCCAATGTATTGGCATCCCTTCCCACCCACTGTATAGTTAAAACCGTCTATTATGTGAGCCATTTGAACTTCTTCATTTCATTTCTGTAACACCAAATCACTGAATCTGGGTTCTTTAGCCAACCCACCTCCACCTTGGAGTCCCCTTCTATTATCAATTTCTCCATTCCTAAATCTTTTGCAAACTGAATGCCTTGTAGGGCTGCATATAGTTCCGCCTTTAAAGAGTCTCCATGTCCCATTGGTCTTGAAAAGATGGCTTTTAAATTTCCTTGTCTCTTAAAGCTCCTCCTATGCCAGATGGACCTGGGTTGCCTTGGCTACTCCCATCAAAGTTTAGTTTCAGCCAATCTTCAATGGGAGGACTCCAAATAGACCTTGCTATAATTTTTTGTACTACACTAAAGGCTATGAAGCTCCAATTCTTCCAGATATCATCAAAGGAGAAATATTTGAATAGGTCCAATGTTTGCAACCAATGTATAACCCTGGTCATAACACACTCCATAATTTGTTGTTTACTTCTTTCTTTCTCTTGGAAGATTCTTGCATTTCTTTCTACCCATTATGTCCAGACCACAGCTGCTCTAGTGCATCTCCACATTATTCTTCCCCCTCTCTTCGGCAACCCAAAGGTTAATGGATCAAACAGCATTTTAATCTCCGTTGGAATATCCCACCTGATATACCTGCAGAATTGAGGGAGGAGGCTATGGATCGCCTTCTAAGGTGCTGCTAAGGTAGCCCTTCGTGATACACCAGCATCCCAACCATTCTCAACCCACAAATTTTCCCTCTCTAAAGGCCATCGCCATAACCATTTCCCTAGGAGTGTTGTATTCTTCTTTCTTACATTCTCAATACCTAATCTACCCTCTTCCTTGCTTCTACACACCACCTCCCAACTTACTAAGTGATCTTTCCTGACCTCTCCCGGCTCCCAAAGAAAGTCTCTCATGATTTTTTCCAGTTCCTTTTCCTCCCTTGGTGGGATCCTAAAAATAGAGAGGAAATAGATCGGTAGGTTAGCCAATGTAGATCTTATTAGAGTAATTGTACCTCCCAAAGATATATAATTTCTCTTCCAACCAGCCAGCCTCTTCTTACTTATTTATACAACTGAGTTCCAAAAACTGCTTTCCTTCGGGTTTGCACCTAGAGGTAGTCCTAGATAGTTCAAAGGCCAAGGGGTGATATGACACTCTAAGCAATTTGCTATCAAGCTCAGGCCATTTTCCTCCATATCAACCCCTGCTATGCAGCTCTTATTTAGGTTTATTTTCAGATTGGAAACTTTTTCAAACTTCTTAATCAGGACTTTCAATTTCCTCACTCTCCTAATGTCCCCGCCCCAAAGAAAATTATGATATCATCTACAAACTGGAGATGAGTAATTGGAACATTATCTCTACCCACTCTCCACCCCCTAAACTTGTCTTCCCTATCTGCCTTAGAGAGGATTCTACTAAAGGCATCCGCCACTAAAGTAAAAAGGAGCGGAGAGAGAGGGTCACCTTGCCTTAGCCCTCTGCAAACTGGGAAAAAGTCTTTCACCACTCCATAGGCTACAAAACAAGGGTAGCCCATACCCCATACCCACTACCCCCCAACCCTGATGACAGCAGGATTTGATCCCAAGCCTCCGCTAAAAGAAACAAAAGAATTTACCAATTGAGCCACCATCAGTTGGTTACAAGTAAGTGGATTTTCAAGTTCTCTTTTTATATATTTCTTAACTTTCTTTCTAGTAAGCCTGTGAAGACAATCAAAACAATCCTAATTTTTTTTCTCTACAACTCATCCCTTGATTTCTACTACCTAAAGTCCTTTCATTAACCCTCCTACCACTAGACTACTTGATCTTTTCTTTTTTTTTTTCTTTGATCAGCAAGAAAATCTTATTAATTGTATTAATATGTGAAAACAAAAGTTACAGCATAGAGGTTATCCAATCACCCAAAGGTACAAGAGAAAAATATAAATGACCAAGAATTAACAAATATATATGCCCAAGATCAAGAGTTACAATAATGCCAAAAACAGTTGGTTGCTTAGCTAACCTATCCATTTATATATATTAACAAATCTATCTCTTGGAGGAAGAATCACCCTAATTAGGTCTACTTTAGCTAACCTGCCCATTTATTACTGTTGTGAATCTTATTAATTGGTTCTCTGTCAGTATGTTGTTAGTATGCTGTCAGCCTAGTCTACCTAGGTGCTGTCAGCCAGTTTTCTTTTTTTTTAGTTGTTTATTATTAGGAATTGCTGCCAAGGGCATTCTTATAACTTCAATTCTTATTATTTTAAGTGAATATAAATAATTAGCTAGTAGCCGCCAGCCCTTAATTTTTGAGTCTCAATCAGACCTCTCTCTCTCTCTCTTCCCTTCTCCTCTACGTTCTCTTCTCCTCTCTCTCTCTCTCTCTCTCTCTCTCAAAGGAACACATGGTATCAGAGTAATAATTCTGGGTTCGAAAATTGTTTTTCTCTCATCTGAATCTTAGTCATTTTTTGTTCTCTTGATCTCTTGGACATGGAAGACCAAGAATTCTAATCGGACTGTTTAGAGTTCTTGCGGCTGTTGTTCTTTGGGTTCTTCCTTGGTCGTAACACCAAGGAAACCCTAACAGAAGAGGGGCAATGCTGGAATGACTCTCCTCTCTTAGTTCGATGCTGTGAAAAATATTTTCCTAGGTTTGCACCTTCGTACAGGTGTTGGACAGGGGTATGTGTCCCCTGTTTTCTCTGTGGTCTATGCTGTTAAGGGCTGTGAAGGCCTTGGTTTTGAGGTTTACACCTTCGTACAGGCGCTAGACAGGGGTATGTTTTTTTTTTAATCATGTGCTGTTGTCGA